GGCATAACGATGTAGCAATACGTACCTGTTTTAGTGATGAAGGCGGTTTTTTCTTGGTCATCTGGATGCAGTTGAATTTGATGATATCCGCTGAAGGCGTCCATGAATGACAACATTTCATGTCCTGCTGTCGCATCTGCTAACATGTCAATGTGAGGCATAGGGAAGGAGTCCTTCGGGCATGCTTTGTTCACATCTGTAAAATCGACGCACGCCCGCCACTTTGTTTTCTTGCCTTTTTCTTTCCTTTCCTTTTTTGTACGACGACGACATTGGCTAGCCAGTCACGGTATTTGACCTCTCTAGCTTTACCTGTGCGCAGCAGTATCTCGACCTCTTGATTGACGATTTCATTCCTTTCTCTGGCGAATCGTCTTCTCTTCTGCCTGACGGGTTTGTATGATTTGTTGACATTCAGCCTGTGAGTGATGATTTTTGGGTCAACTCCCGTCATATCATCGTGACTCCACGCAAAAACATATTTATGCTCCTTGAGGAAGTCAATGAGCTCGCTTTTAAGGTGTTCTGGCACGTTCCTCCCGATGCGGACGACCCATTCCGGATGATTGGGATCTATGACGACATCCTCTATTATGTCGTCCTCTTCTTCATCTGGAATGGCGTCGCCCTTTAATTGTTATGGTGAGGTAGTCGGTGTTGCAGTGGATTTCATTGCTGTTTGGTAACACGATTTTGCGGCTTTTCTGTCTCCCTGGATTGATTGCACTCCCTAAGGTGTTGGAAATTTGACGACTTGATGATAGGTGGACGGAATTGCCCCCATTTGATGTAGCCATGGGGTTCCCAGGATCATGTTGTACGCGGGCAGCTCTTGGACCACATCAAACTTGACCTGTAAATTAAGACCATTTGTATATACGGGTAATGACACATTACCTAAGGTCCGACTTGGTTCCCCATTGAAGCCGATCAAGGTTGATCCGGAGCTTGTCACGTCCTCTTCTTTGTAGCCCATTTGTCCTAACATCTTCATAGTAGTGATGTTGGCGGTGCTCCCGTTGTCAACAAGGACTCGGCGTACTTCGCAGTTTGCCACTCGAAGTGAGATAACCAGAGCATCATGATGGATGTCGACTGGGTCCGTCTATCAGATTCATCAAAGGTAATTGACACGTTCTTACGATCCTCTTCGTGTTTGGTAATTGGACAGACCTGCGACGACTTGTCTCGGGAGTATTCCCGAGCATGTCTCTTGGCCGTAGAATAAGTTAGTCCTAATAATTCAGAACCGCCATTAATAAAATTTATTTCCTTGTGAGGGGCAGAAGGCGATGGTGGTCATTGTCCGGATGTTGACGGCTTTGGATCTCGATGCAGAAGGGCCTTAGTTTGGTCGGACATTATTTCCGTGAGGTATCCATTGCGTAATAGATAAGTGACTTCTTTCCTTAAAGCGACACAGTCCTCGGTGTTGTGACCGATGTCGTTGTGGAAATCACATCTTTTATTGGGATCCCGTCGTCCTCCTGATTTGTCAGACTTCCTGAGCCAGCGGACCTTCTCGCCTATCTTGTCCAATGAACTAATGAGTCCGGAGGTATCAATTTTGAAACAATATTCTGTTATTGACGACGGCAGATCAGGGTCGTCCAGCCAACTGGTCACCGATGTCACTTGTCGGTCTTCGCTCCTCGTATAAGGTTTTCCCGCTCGGTACTCATGTTTCTTGGAAGAATTTGCCTTCCTATGTCCTCCTTCATACCCTTCTGGCTGCTGGTGAGTCTGTTGGTCTTCCTCAAGTCGGATAAACGCCATGGTTTTTGCTTGAACATCTTCAAAAGTCCTGCATGGATATTTGGTTAATTCCCTGTAGAGCTCTGAGTCTTGAAGCAGTCCTCTCTTGAATGCCTTTATAGCTGTCGACATGTCACATCTCGGAATCGACACCTTTTCCCTGTTGAACCTATGAAGGTAAGCTCTTAAGGATTCGTTACGCTTCTGGACCACCCGGTATAAGTCGCTAGTCTGCTTTTCTAGAACTCGACTACTTGCGAACTGCTGATTAAAGATGTTGACGAGTTCCGCGAATGAATGGATGGCCTCATTTGGTAGATTGACGAACCATTTCAAGGCCGGGCCGGTCAATGTTGATCCGAATGCTCTGCACATGCACGCCTCCCGTTGATCTGGACTAACGGAAACGGCAAGCATGCGCTGCTTATACTGGGCGACATGTTCCACCGGATCAGGGGTTCCGCCGAACAAATTCATCGTGGGGGCTGCAAACTTCCTTGGGATTTTGACGTCTGTGATATGTCTTCCGAAAGGAGAGTCGGCGTAGCAAGTCTGAGAAGCGACGTCCAAGGGCGGCGGCACTCCTGGTATGCTGTTGATTTTTTCCGCATCTCCCGTAGCTCTTCCATGATGATCGCCAAGGGATCCGCTGGGTGTGTCCGTGCCCGAGATCCTGCCTGGATGGGTGATGCCGCTGCCCGGACTACCTCCTGTCTGGTGGGGGATGATATGTCAATGAACTCTGGACTCCGTCGACTTTGGCCGTTGAAGTCGAGATTTCTGGCAAACTCGACACGTCTCGGAACGTCGACATGAATCGGGATTCTTCTTCTGTGAGGCTCCCCTGCCGAGTTCTGGACCGTGCTTCGTCTGGGAATGGCACGGGAACTAGGGCGCATGGATGAGCCCGATTCTCCGGCCATGCTGGTGGTTGTGTAAGAGACGAAAGGTTCGATCGGGGTCGAACCAGCGTTTGATGTGGGCATCCTTTGCGTGAGAGATTGCTAACCTGATGATGACAGCCTGGATCGAATGGACTCTGGAAAATAGCAGGCCGGGATGTTTGGGGAATGAGTTGTCTCTAGCACAAGTGGAGTATATGAAATGACTTGCGAGATAGTGGTGGCATGAGGATTAGTAGATGACAACTCCGATTGATGATTGTCAGTGGCTGACAGTCCTAGCGTGAGAGACAGAGGATTCGTCGTCTCACCTGTGAGAGGTTCGGTCGCGATTGTGACGGTATGCAGATCTAACCTCGTGGTTGCTGTCGTGGCGTCACCCCTCCGACCACCCTTTGAATTGGAAGTTATGGAAGCCACCGTTTGAACTTGAGAGCGCAAAATATCGTTTTCTCGCTAGAGAAAACCAATTCGCTGAGCCGTTTCTCGCCGGATTTCTTCTTTAATGGATTCGAGTTGTTGATGAAATTCCGCCAGCAATGGATTTGAGTTTTCGGCCATGATCGATTCTTCTTTGCCCGAATTTCCCACAGACAACGCCAAATTGTTTATGCTAAAATAAACTAATCTAAGATTGAAACGGGAATCGAACAAATATCGATCGATAATGAATTAATTGACAAGTAAATATATGAATAATATTTCTTAGAAGTGCGGATGTGAAAATTCTAGGTACAAGAGAATAGCAAGAATGCTTAGTTGTGTAATCTGGTAATCGTGTCCTGTCATGACCATTTTTACAGCTATTTATTTAACCTAAATTCTACTTCTCCTCCAGGTCATGCGCATGACCCTCCTATTTCTTCTCCAGAATCTCCACATGCAACTGCTTCCGTTCTTATCTTTGATTGACTCAAGTGAATAACCGTTTGAAGGATTAGTATTCAATTTGAACTAGAACATCTACTTGTGTGCGCATCATCTGCTAGCCCAATCAAGGGATAAAGTTCCTCTACTCCAGCCCAACAAATACTTACGTAAAACAGTACGGCCCATTTTGAACTATATGAAATGACATGGCCCAACAAATATGTAATTAACTAATTACTTGCTGAAATTTGCTCTTCACATTTACTTTTTATTCTTGTAAACTTTACAACTCAAATTTGTCGTAGCCTAATACGTTTAGGCTTGGACTCGGGTCGGGCCACCCGGCCCGTGGACCGGCCCGGCCCGCTACTGTGCGGGACCGGGACCGGCCCGGTTCTCGGGTCCGGGTCCGGGTCGGGCCTAGGCCCGGGGGGTAGGGTGGGTCCGGGCTCGGGTCTGAATTTTGGTGAACCGGCCCGGCCGGGTCGGACCCGGGCCCGGGCCAAATTGATTTTTTTTTAATTTTTTTTTCATTTTTGGGCTTCCACCCGGGTTGGGCTTGATGGGTAGGATGGGTTTGGGGGGTTTGGGAGGGGGGGGGGGGGGGGGGGGGTTAGGAAAGCAACAAAAAAAAAATCCAAACCGGAGGCCTGGCCCGGACCGGAGCCGGTGGCTACCCGGGCCGGTCCCGGGTCCACCATTCTTGAACCGCCGGCCCGGCCGGGCCTAGGCCCGACCCGGACCCGGCCCGGACCCGAGTCCACCCCTAAATACGTTAATCAATTTTATCATCACATTCAAACAATTTTTGTTCTTCTCCCCAATCCTCGAGCTTTATTTTTACAGAGTTTCAATTCAAAACCCCCTTATTACATGCAGTAATATGATTTTTAATTAACTTTGAACTTATTTATAAGCTTCTTGTGAGTATGAACTCAAGTATATATGCATAAGCTTGAACACATTACACATATATGAATATTAGTTAGTTTTGAGGCATATTTTGAACTTTTACCTCATTCTCCATTCATTGTATGCATATTAGTAAAATTCAGAATTAGAAAAAAAATCAATTTTTGGTAAACTTTCATCACTAATTAAGAGTTCTTCACTTATTGAGAGTTTGGTCACAATTGTACATTTGTGTAACTGCATTTCATGGATTGATTCCTAAAATATGACTAAGAGCCCGTTTATTCCTGAAATATTAGAGTTAAGTTGATTCCTAAAATATGACTAAATTAGTCTAATTAAAAGCATCCCAAGAGCCTAATAATCACATTTCTAGTGGTTATTTTCTTTGTACAACTCATCTGGTCTTCTTCATGATTTATCCACATCCAATTTTTTTTATAAAACACATGACTTTTGATTTCACACGTTAAATCGTGTAATAATTATAATAAATAAAGTTTAACTTACTTTTCTAACTGAATTGACTAAATAGTTGACAATTTAATGTTGAACTTATAATTAGAAAAATAAAGCGACTATCAAATGTCATTGACAAAAATGCGACTATTAAATGTAATTGACAAAATAGTCACAAAACTAAAGTTGCAAAACCCCATTGTCCCCATATAATAAGATCACAACAGTGGAATCAACAGCAGGTATATTCCAAACTTGGAGAGAAGGCAATAATATTACAGTTACATGAGTGTCAAATCTACATATAACAATGAATTGACACAACTATTATTATTTGCAAAATTTGAACTTACTCAGCTAACAAAGCAGAGGCAAACAAATCCTGCAGGAAAAAAGCTCTCCCGTTCGCCTGCTTTATCTTTTCTTCCCGTTCTTCATAACTAAGAGACGGATCAAAACTGCAAAAAAATGAGATTAAAACAAATTTAGATGTGGATAAATGATGAAGAAGACCAGATGAGTTATACAAAGAATAACCACCATAACTTCCATGTGTGTCGAGATGCCTCGCTCTTCATACAAGTATCCTCAGGCTTGGAAGAGATCTCATCAGCTTCAGAAACGGGGAAGTTAAGCACAAGAGAAGAGAGGAAGGGATCCACAGATGAAGATGAAGTTGTGGCAGTGGTTGACCGAAACCCACTGCTTCCTCCTCCCAGAAGCACCTGCAGATGGGCTTCGCGAAGATCCTTCCCTAGTAAAGAGAATGCCGCCTGACTGCTCGGAATTGCGACCTTACGTAACCTTCGCCTCCGCTGTAGGTGTCTTATAGTTAAAGAGACATCAAGGGGCCATTAAGTCATCACTATTTCGGCTTATCAGACATTTGTTTTCTACCAAACGCTAAGCACGCTTAACGGTTAACAATGTAAAAGAACCAAGATGAAGGTACTTCTTTTGTTGATGTTGTATAATAGGATCATTAATCCTTTTTTTCTACATATGTAAATTTTGTTTCAACTTTCAAATAAGGTGTATGTTATTAAATATAGTGCAACAGATCGTAGATCTGAAAAGGTTAACAATGCTAGCACATGATAAATTTGATAAAAAAAAGTGTACATTTTCGTAAATGAATCAAACTTTTCTACCATCGTGACAAATGCACTATAGTACACATATAGTTTGCCATGGTCAACAAAGTATGCACCTTTGGCACACATCTCACACGAAACACCAATTTTATATGAACTGCATTCTTATATACATATCTATATAGAGAGAGAGGGAGAGGGAGGGTCTCATAAGAACTCATCTTACCATGGGAAAATCTTTATGAATGATAACATTAATTTTACTTTGCATATTTCTAATCACTGGCTGATATTTGACAAGGTGGTATTTTGTAGTCATTTTAGATTCATTGAAAAAACGCATTTGAATATAGAATAATTACAAAAAGATCACTTTATTGGTAGCTATTGATTGAAAAATATAAATGGTAGATATTAAAAGTACTCATTAAAAAATGATCTAGGATGGGTTGATTGGGTTCTCATAAAAAATTTCCCACCTAAAGAATATTCATCAAAGCAATGTCAGCCAAATTCACCCTCACAAAACGTCATTTAAATAGGACTATGAAGCAAGTGATAATGGAGATTAGAAGTGTTTGTTTAGAAAGTAGCAAAATAAACATCACATTGAATTAAGGATATCTTGAATAAGTGTCCATGTTGCAGTGTAATATGATTTAACATGTCCCTGGAAACTTTAACAGAACAAATGGGGCAAATCTGCAATCATTAGAAAGGTAGGATGAGATTCTTGCAATGTTATTTCCATTTTCTGGCTTGTTTTGTACTTGAAAGGAAAAAATGCCACCATGAGATGCAGTTACATATTACATATAGCACATTATTACCCTTTGAATCCTCAAGAAATAGAAGCCAGGAAACATAGATTGAAGGCCAACTGGAGGCTAAACAAACACTAGTGATGGACCAGAAGAACGAAAAATTGCATAGAATTGGTATAGCATCAAGCAACACCAACCTAATGAGATCGCATGATGTTAAAGTAGACAAAATCTGATGAATAAAAGTGTTTGATTGCATTTCTACACAAGCTGAAAATCTGTTTTAGTAGGTCAAAATCACATATATATATTGATGTTTGTAATATGTAAAAGACATACAGGTGTTTTTGAAAGAAGCACTTGATAGGTGCCTAACGTGCCTTCTTTAAAAAGAAATTATAAATATTTCTTTTAAAATTCCATTACAATATTTCATGACTGTATTTCCGAAGATTATACTATTTTTAGTTCTATTTCCATCATTTCCAATGAAGCCAAAGACTCGCTAATTTTTGGCTTGGGAAAATGATGGAATACAGCTTAATGGCTCACTAAACTGTCTGCACTTTTTTCAACACGATTTTTATCATAGGTCATCCGGAAACAGTCTCTTTTATGCTTTAGCGCAGGGGTAAGGTTGCGTACACCCAACCCCCCTTACCTCACCGTAGGTGGGAGAAGCCTTTGCGGGGCTGGGGTAATGCTGTTGCAGTATACTGTTTTAGTTCTATTGTAGAGCACATTTTAGCCTGTCTAGAAAATTTGATGATTACGAGTCACTTTCAACTCAACTTAATAGGAGGAGGTAACTTTATCATTATATATTGTGGTGTGGGATGATAAGATGATTTAACATGTCCCACAAAAAGGTGAATCATTTGAATAGACTATTATTAAAACATATGTGCTCTAATTTCTTTGAATCTAAGTCCAACTGAATTCTTGTTTGAGCTTAATTGGTTATGATACCAAATTAAGACTTGTTACAGTCCGTATAAAAAGTACACTTGATTGGAAGAGTAGTCCAATAACATATACCGAGTATATGAGTTTGCATCATTATGTTTTGCTGTGTGGAATGGCTTAACATACCATTTTAAAACACAAGGTTTTCCTAAAAGGGCCAACCTATGTCTATTCTGTATTCATCAGAGCGCTTTTAACAAAAGCACATTCAAGCGAGCCTTAAACTTTAAAAGCGGTTTCAAGCTTCCAACTTTATCTAATGTCGTTATTTCTGTCAGGATTTTCAATACTCTCTATGTCTCTATCATCAAACTAATGACACACAAGAAGACTACTACAGAGTATTATACTATTTGGTCCCACCTAATTGCTATATCATTACTGGAATGGGAAAGCTGAAAAGGATTGAAATCAAATGCATGATGATGCAAATATCCATAAAAGTCAGAAATCCTATACAAGTATGATTCACTTAAATGATTTTCTTAAGATATTGGCATTAGAATGGATGAGCACCCTAAAAGAGTTATTGCATAATACTAACTACAAATAGATGCACATGAAATACAAGCTGCAAGCAGAAATGTAAATTAACTTAGTACTCTCATTCTCTAGTGTACCTTACTAGAGGAAAATCTTCACTAAAAATAATATTTACAGAGTCTTATTTTTGAAAACTAAAAGGAATTATATTTGTATTTCTTCAACACCAAAACATGAATATAGGCCTAACAAAAGATTGAATCTATACGTATTTCTAAATAGTGCAAACGAAATTTATTTTGCAGTTGAAGAAAAACACAGTTTCGTATAAATTTTGGTTGTCACATTTATTATTACTAAGAGCGATACAACAAGAAACAAAAAAATAGGACGAAAGAAAAGCTATCTTTTTACGATTTAAGAATAAAAATGAAAAATTTCCAAGTTTCCACTAACAGAATTTATCCCAGAGTAACAATCTTACGGTAGGTTTGGACTCGCAAGAATGCTCATCTTCAAGATGAGAGCAGAGGGAGGTGATGTCAAAGTCTTCGTAACAATAAGGGCATGGGAAATCGGGTCGGGCCTCTTCTTCAACCTCCACCTCATCTATGTTTAACCGATCTGCAAAAGCCCAGAAACGAATGAACAAAAGATCAAATCTTTTCACGAATTAAGGCATCCGACTCATAAAAAAATAAAAAAAGACGAACCCAATTGAGAGATGTGGCGGCTATTGGTATTGTAGCTTGTGTGATGGTGATTCTGCAAATTGAATTGGCGCTTGGCAGCAGCGATGCGAGAGGTCCAGAAATCACTATCCATGGAAGCAAGAAAGAAGAGGCCCACGGTGAAGAAGCACCCCGATGAGATAAGATGAAATGACAGAAGTCTTTTTCCTTTTTTTTCTTTTCTCTTTTCCCTAATCTCGGTATCGGTTTGTGTGTCTCTGTGGGCGTTTTTCTTTCTCAGCGGATTTTATTCATCAGTCTTTAATTTTCTGGTGGAGGTTCACTCAAAACGAAATGATGCAGCCAAATACGCGGATACCACTGTACGTTACAGTTTTCTATTTTCCAAATCAAGCTCTAAACTTGTTTGGTACCGGACTACATTAACATTAATTTTTTAGAAGAACTAGTAGAGCACAAATTATACCGTACACCCGGATGTAAGGTCTTCATCGTACATCAATGTATTTTTGAAATTAATTAGAACCTCAATGGCGAATGTTCTCTCTTCCGATCCCTTGTTGCTCGCTAGGTCTGATGATGGAGGCGTTGATCTGCTAGCTCGCTGAAGTCTGATGAAGGAAGAGTCGATCTGTTAGAAGTCCTAAAAATTTCTTCCGCTGCTACTCGCTCGCTGGGTGTTCGGATGAAGGAAACGCCGATCTGGTGAAGGAAGTACGAAGCACCGTTCAACGTTGTTTCGTTGTGATCAAGATGTTGCTTTTTGCTCTGTGCACGACCGCCGTCTAGTTTTCTCTTTTGCTTTTGACTTTTTCTTTGCTTTTGATTTTACTTTATTTTGTTTAGTCTTATTTTTTACTTCTTTTCGTTTGTTTATTTGTTGATTTTTTTGTATATTATTCTGAGCACTTTAGAAATGAGTTTTAGCTTAAACTCAAATGAGTAAAATGCCTAAAAAATTAACATATACAAATGAGCTTTTGAATTTTTGAATACTCATTTTGTAAATTATGTATGTTCATTTAGTATCTCTACTATGCTCATTTTTAAAATGTTTTCAGCAGTAATCCCACCGGAAAAGATCACCCCAACGAGCACCAGTCATCTTCTCCGAGAACTTCGTTGTGTTTCCTCCATCTTCGGTGTTGCAGAGATTCTATAGGAAAACGTTAATGCTCTATATAGACTACATTCCACTCAGATTGACCTGACAAATCAATCCAACCCTTGCCACATCGCTCTCACGTGCCAAATGAGCATAATGTTTAAACGAAATGAGTATAGACAAATAAGTATTTGAGCACATTAGCAATTTCAAATGACATTTTGGATTTTTCGATACTCTTTTTGTAAGTGGTTCCTAATACTCAACTGAATAAGTGTGATGCTCATTGAAAGTGTTTTAATACTCATAATAAGTTTGATGCACATTAAAAGTTCATTAATGCTCATTTAACAGAAACTGTGATTTCTATCTCAACAGAGAAGGTTTGATGCTCATTGAAAATGTCGTTATGTCAAACTAACAAACTTTACGATTTTCATATCAATTAACATTTTGTAAGTTATGTACGCTCATTTTGTATTGATGTTATGCTCATTTTAAAATGTCATATCAATGCATATTTCAAAAGTATCATATTACACTAAATTCACATATTGAAATTCATAAGAGTGTATGATAGGTATAATTTAATAGGTTTTTATAAAAGAAAAAATAAGAAAAAGAACAAAAATTAGAAGATATGAATTTGAGATCGTGTTACTCATTGTTAGCCTCGTAATACTCAATAAAATAGGTTGGATGCTCAATAAACGTACAATATTGCTCATTTAGCGTAAGCCATGAATTTTCGCTTAAATTACAAATATACCACCGAATTTATTTTGGTCTGTATTAGTGGTTGGGCCGTCTTTCTTACTTGGGTCGGGTGTACGCACACCCGGATGCACTATATACGAACTGCTAGTAGAGCACCATGAATGAGTTTGTTGCATGGGTATCATTACCGTTAGACATTAAAGTCTAATTAGAAATAAAGTTGAATATCATAAATTGTGATGATAAAGAAATAAAATTGTAATATGTAAGTTTATTGTAATATGTAATGTGATTTTAATACAATATGAAATATTGGAGATTATGGAACACTTTTTTATATACAACATTCGTGGTTTCATCTATCGAACAATCATCTTCGTTTTGGATGATGACTTTGAGACCTACACAATTGGTAACTCTTGATACATCAACATACAATTGTTCATGGCTGAAAACCGGTTTTTTCAATAAGAGACCGACGTGAGTGAGGGACTGACCTTGACTTTTATTGATGGTCATTGCATAAGAAACCATAGGGAAGTTACCTAACAGATTTGATCCGGTTTTGTATCTCATTTTCTGTATCGTAGATATACAACTGTGCAAATTCTGGAGTCGATCCAACTGTGGGCATTAAACTTCCAATAAGGTGATAGTTTTGACCATGAAGTTTAAAAATTGGGGGAGACCTTCCTTTGTTAATCGTCGTTTCTATCCGGCCACCCATCGATGTGAACGCGAACATTCTATTGTAAGATCTTATATTTTCTAGAAAATGCTTGCTTCTAGCATCTATTCCATCCATCAACCTTTGCAGCAACAACAACGGTTCTTTGTTGATCGGAAGTTGTACCTTACTCTGTGAGCAACAAAGGGAATACTTCGGTTTTTTATAGAACTTCATTCAATCCTCTCTTCGTACCAAAAAAGTGCTTCATAAAAGGGACAGACACAATTTGGATCACCAATATCCTACAACTCTGAAATGCTATATACCAATGTCTATTTTAATCAAGTTGTATAAATAAATAAATTAGGATTAAAATAAATAAATTAATAAATAAATAATTTCTAATAATAACTTCTAAAATTGAAAAATAACATATAACTTCAAAATAAGTGAGGCTTTAATTTGGCCAACTCAAATAAGGTAAAAATTTAATTTATAGAAAACCAACCAATAGACGATACATTGTTAATACTCTTTAGATCTTCATAATCCACATATGCATCGTCTATGTCTACATCATCGATATCCAAATTTTGCGTGAAATAACTACACGAAGCAACATCAGTGTTGTCCAAGATATTATCTGGGTGATTGAATAAAACTGACGTAGATCGTAGGTCATACGATCTCTTTTGAATTAGATTCGGCCTTGTAACAGGTGTTTGTTTAGAAAGTACACTTGACACTGATGGTTGAGCGCTCGTCACCGACTACATTATTATTACACAACATTACACAACATTGGTTAATAAAATAATCGAAAATATCATTAGCTTTAAAAATAGGTGTACAATAGTAAGCCAAAAACATCTTGATAAATTTACCCTTAGTTACATCCACCAGAGGGGAAATAACAGAAGTTATAGGCTTTATAGATGTCGTAATACTGTGATGAATAGATTCTTGAAATCGAGCGTTTTGCAAAATTCTTCGATTTACGTCACGCTTGTTGTCACTATCATCTGCGTAAAAGATATGGTTGACCACATTTGTAGGAAAGTAATACTACCCATTTTATTGAGAACAACACGTATTAATTTTTAACTATTAAAAACTATAAATCACATAATTGTGTTTTGGAAATTTGTCCTCAACCTAAATATATTTCGTGAACTTCAAAATTCACACATCCACACATTTTTGTGTCTATATATTTGAGTGGGCAGTTTCACGAACCTAGCTATATTAATTTTTTAAATAAAAGTGGTTAGTATATTTTAATTATATTATTGTAATCACCTTTTTTTATAATGCCAAAACATATTTTTCTAATGTTTTAAATGAACAATTTTAATGAGTCAAACATAAATAATGAAAATTGATGCCTATAATTAGAAAATAAACTAATTAAATGTTTTCTTTAAAATCATACATGCTATCAAATGTCAATGTTTTTTTACAACATTTTTTGAAATAATTAGAGGATATCCTAATACATTGTAAGAATAAGCCAAACATTGTAGCCCATTACAATTCTAATTTATTATACAGGTCCATCACAATTATTTTAACCCATTAAATATCAGCCCAGCCCAACCCACCATATACTTAGGTCACTCAAACAAAAGGTCGCTGCATACATACGCTCCGATGTAGATTTTGCATTTCGTCTACCTCAGCGTCGCACCGCTTCTCCATCTCACAACAACAACGCACCGGCGACCGATCTCATCGAACACCGAATCCATCAAAATATTCTGGGTGAGTAACGATTTGTGGATTCCAAATAAATTCTTCTCTAAACAGAATTTAATCTACTTATTGATTAGGTTTACTTGTTGATTCGTTTGTATTCTGAAATGGATCTCAATCTTCGAACACCCCTGTGGGAAGCTATATACATCTTCAACCTCTCAAGTCTCTTTCAAAAAAGATGAGTCGTTTGTTTCTAACGCTTGTAATATTTTTGTATAGCCAATCTCGAAACCTGAATAATATTTTGTTATATGTGTGATTTCAGATCTCGTAGTTAAACGAAGAGTTTGACATCTGTTAGAATGCCATAGTTTTCCACCGGCAGACGCAGCAGGCCAGGCCACCTGGAATCTATAAGGTACCGTTCAGTCAATTGATTATGTGTTTGTTTCATTGGTTTGTTGGTTTAGATCTTTGTGAGTTTGTGGCCTCGATTGAAATAAGTATTTTTTGTAATACGAAGTCTTGTTATTCTATGAATCTATGATTTGTTGAAATTTGATGTAGTCTGCCAATATTTTTCATTGACTATTTCTTTTACTGATTTATTGAAAATCCATTGCAAACCTAATTTCCTGTCATATATAGTATGAATTAATAAAAACGTGCAATTTGATTAGGCTTATGTAAATATGAAGTGCAATCTATCATTATATAATGATTCCCTCAATGTATATACGGATGAATTTTAACAATGATAATAATATTATGATGAAAAGTTTAGTTTCTATTTTTTAGTTCTCACTACTACCCATTTTTGCAAATCATTATTCACTTAAATCATTGAATTTAGAAATAAACATCTACAAAGTAATGTTTTCATTTGTCTAGGCTATTAAAGACATCACCAACCTGAAGTTGTTTTTAAAACTTAAGGCTAAATCTACAGTTTGAAGTTTCAATGGGAGAAGATGAATTTAAATAGTTGTTGTTGTGTTCTCTAGTAGTATTACATTATGCATATTTGCTATTTATATAATCATTTCGTTAAAGTGTTAATCTTCGATCTAGTGACACTCACAAATACTTAAAGTAGTGTTGGCAATTCTTGTACTTATCTTTGGTTCTTGTGTAGGTCATCAAACTAGAGACTTAAGTAGTGTTGTTCCAGTTCGAATGCACAAGGAATTGTAGGAATCCTGCCTCTTTTAC